ATTCTCAACTCTGTTTACAGCTTAGTTAAAAAAAATTTCCACTTTTACGTTCTTTGGGCCCACCACCGATGATAAGCCAGACTTAATTACCCAGTAATGACCTGTTAAGAGGCTCATAAATAGACGGAGACGACACGTCAGCTCGAAGCAATGCATTTGGTAAAATACCGAAGATGGGCTGATCGAACGGCTTTTTCTTCCGTGCTGCAAGAGAAGTCAAGTGAGACGACACCAACCAACCCTGAAGCTAGTATGTCATACAATAATGAAATCTATGTTGGGAGTATTTATTTATTGAAGAATTGGAAACTGAGATAGCACATGGCACTACTTCCATATATATTGTGAAAAGGGAAATGATTATGTAACTTCATCTTGGATATGGCAAACAAATAATTAATGCTTTTGTCTGTGATTGAGCTGTGTCCTCTTCCAAACCAAAAACGAACATTACTTGGCAATCGATATTCATGCTTGCAACATGCCACTTGGCTCAGTATTGTTTCAAGCTGTCTTGGAACACATGTATATATAAAAGTTTGTTTGGATTTTTTCAATATTCCTGGATCTAAGTAGTATATATTGTAGCTAGTGGTTGGTTCCTAGCTAGCTAATTAGCTAGACGTACAAGAAAGATGAATATTTTGGGGGAAAGAAGTATCAATGGGGTGTTGATGCATGCCTTGGAGGAAATGCTTCTGCTTTAACTGTATTTGGAGTCTTGTAGATACGATTACGTGCGTCAATTATTTATGAGTCTCGTAGCTACCTCCTGATTGCACTTTGCTAAAATTTTGAAATTATTGGGAATGCATTAGACAAAGTTATGAGTTAATTATGACGTGTACGACCGCATTTTTTGTTTCTTACTATATTTTTGGCAAGATGGGTATTTTAGCAAGCAATTAAACATTAACTGAATTCATATATTTTTAACACAACAAGAACTTGAGCTCATCATTAGTTTATCAACAACCCTAATAAAATGTCATCAAGAACCAAGTCGTTCTTCAGTTACTCTAGTTCTTAACATGTACTCCATAGTTTTAGTTAATAATGGTGAGATATTGTTGAACCGAAAAAATCACCATTTATGTGAATAGTAATTTATACTATTAAATATGATAAACTATTAGTATAGTATACTAAACTCACAAGGTTGTTTTCTCGGCAGAATTTATGAATGAACAGTTTATTTATATATATAACGATGTTCATATTGTATCAAGACATGGATTAACCACCTAAAATGTTGACTAATTATCTTTTGGTCTAAACCATCTTTAGACTCTCTAAAATGAAATGTTAATTCTTCATCTTTGAGCAATCCTAGGATTTACGGTATTGAAGGAGTTTTGAGGAGTCACGAAGGAAATTTTATGTGCGCTTTCTCTATCTCAATTGTTAGGAAGCGAATTAAGGAATAAAAATATAGTAGAAAGACAAGTATAATCACATAATATAAAAAATTTTCGTGATTCGACAATGATGTCTACTCTCGATGTCTACTCCATGATTGCACTAGGAGTTCTTATTAAGTTTTGTTAAGTGGTGGCTACAAATACAAGTGATGTTATCTCTATTTATAGTGTAGACAACTAAGGTTATAAGGAAAAAAAAACTTAACAGGCCTATATATTTGGTCCAATATTTTATAGATCTTTTGGAAGCTTCGTTGTGCTAGATGTGTATAGTGTCTTATACTATGAACTTCTATCCACATCGAGCTCTACAACTTAATACGAACATAGATTAAAAAATCCAATGAAGTTAGGGTTGTTGCAATCTTGAAAGCTTTGGAGATCAATGCTGCTTCAGTTTATGCTTATCAAATGAATTGCATTGTTGAATCAGACTCGATCAATGCTATTGCTTGGATAACAAGGAAATCTTTGCTCCACCTTGATTTTTGGTGGTATCTTTAGGTCTATTGATTCTTTGATCAAAATTTTAGGATCTAATTCATTTAACCATATCTTTCGAGAAGGAAATGCAGTTGCAATACCTTAGCCAAAAATAGTATATAGATTATGAATAAATTGCAGGATATAGTTTTTATTTTTATGTATATTTTATTGTGCTTACTTATAAGTCTATCGACTGGCAACTTGCTTATTAAATTAATCTAATGTTGATTTTTATCGAAACAAAAAATTGATGGTAGGAAGTTGATGTATTTACGAAAATATTAATTTTCTAACATACAGATCAGCATTATTAACTATGGGCTCCCATCTGGTCCCCAAGTGATCAAACTCAGCACGAATTAAAACCATTTTCTTTTCTTTCTTTAGTAACATAGTTTTTGCAGGTCTGCTTGCACAGCGCATTGCATTTTAACAATATATATAGTGGGCATTGAATGGATTAGAGGTTATTACTAAGAGAGAAAAGCAATTTAGCACTCAAGAAAAATCAGAGAAAAAACTCTACTTAATGGTGCAAATCAAATGGAGTTTACACTAACTTTAGGACGTATAAGAACTAACAAAATCGAAGAGTTCTCTCCCTTTTGGTTTCTCATTTAACAATGGGCAAGAAGACATTGAAATAGATAGTGATGGCCAGTTCCTAGTTATGAAATTGTAATTTTACACCTAATATATATATAGTACTGATAGTGCTTTCAAAAAGCAGTCTTTATAGTAATTAGATGACTTGGTAACCACATTTCATCCCACACATGCATGCAAGTGGAATCTAGAATTTTCTGTATTTTCGGGTTTTAATTTTATGCTACGTACCATAACTAAATGTATGATGTGATTAAATAAATAATATATTCCTATCGGATTCAGCAAATACATCTTCAATTCATTAAAATACATGTAAAATTTTCAAATCATATCATGACGAGACTTGGGAATATCAAGCTAGGTGGTGCTGGTTCCTATTGATGCCCTAGGAGTAGAGAACGCAAATCATCAATTCGTGGTAACATAAAATTATTTGGGTATGAGACGGATTGCAATTTCTTACCGAAAACAAGTAAAATATGCCAACCATTATAGAGAGGATATATAACGAAAAGGTGAAACAAAACGGCTCTGTTCACTCTCTTTAGTTTAGAGCCACGTACTAATCTCAACCCCACCATCCAAATTTGAGGCCATAAATGTTTCTCACATCCTGACCTAAACTCTCATTGGCAAATCTTGATAATCAAGAGAATTAATCAAACCAAAGTCAAAATCTAGATTATATTATTCAATAATGGAATATTCGGTCACGACCCACCAAATTAATTATCGAGTTCTTAGTGAGATGTTATTAATTAAGTATCTGATTAATTTGTAACCGTGGACGGATACATGCCTATCGAATTTGCGAGAATAAGGATCTTGTATAGCAACATTAGTAATTGCGTTATTGGCTTATCAACAGAAAAAGGAAAAAAGTTGAATTACTGCTGTTATCTGATTCGGATTGTTAAGTAGTTATTAGGGTTGCTGTGGTGTTTCATTTGGTCATTAATTTTGTGCATCATATACCATAATGGTGGTGAATTGACAGTGATTATTTTTTGTTCATTAAATGGTACTCTTATTTCTAAATCTCTCCCCAAAACTGGGTTTAAATTCAGATCACTTGATATGGAAGTGTATGACTTTACCAAATTAATTGATGGTTGCATGATTTTGTAATGTGGATATTGAGATATTATCATGTTTCTTTATGTCATAGTTTTTCGTGTTCATTAAATTCAATTTAATAAGAATGATTTAAATCATGATAATTAAAAATAACTCGAGTATTTATTAATAATTAAATTTACAATATGATCTATCCTATTCCTTAAATGCCCCTTTTTGTTTTAATTTAGTGGGAGTTAGAGGCCCACTTATTTACAATTAGATCTGTATGATTGGCATGAAAGATAGAAAAGGCAAAAAAATAAATTAGTTAATACTCATGTCCACAAACTTTCACATTGCGTATATTTTATTTTATTTTATTATTATTATTATTCTAACTCAAGACTTATTGAAAAAGAAGAGATATGAATTACAACTCATTAATAATATTAAACAATTATGTATCAATTAATATAACACACACACATAAATTTTATGATACATGACCTAAGAATATGTTCATTAATACTCTTTATGTGCGGTCCATCTTTTAAAATCTATTAAGTGATTTGGACTTCAAAATTAGTCCAAAATCCTGTCAAGTGGATTAAACTCCAGAATCAGTTTAGGATCTTTTCCGAATCTTTATTGGACCAATATTAGATTTTTTTGAGATTATATATCATATATAATTAAATAATTGAGATTGTATTTTATTTAAAAAATTTAAGGCTTATGATTTGTAGTTTATTCAATTTATTGATTTATACTTTTGTATTTATATAATGTGAAATAAGTTCACTAGAGAGCAATATATAATTACAAGTGACAGTTGAATTACTGAAAGCATTTTTTAAAATCCTAGAGCTAGCTATATATGTTTTCTTCTTTTACATGCTAGCTAAGCTATTATTCTCAGAATGTTGCAAATATTTTGTGTGGCGAAAGCATTTTACCGGAAAATGAAAAGATGACAAAAAATCAGCAACAAATCAAATCCCATCCCATAACCTTGAATCCTCAAAAAACTGCTTTAATGCCAAAGTTACGTTTAAGTAAACCCCACCACTTTCCTAGGCATTATTTTGCTTGTTGCATTCAGCTTTCTTTTCTTCCTATCCTTAGTCAGCAACATTACTGGTGTTTGATATATATATATATATATATATATATATATATATATATATATATTGTAAAATTAAAATGACTGCTGGTTTTCAGGTTCTAATGGAAACCAAATGTGATCATTCATAATAAGATTAGTTAGTGGAGTCCCTAGATTTTAAACAAATTAAAGACGTGTGGATATTGCCTTAATGATCAATGAATGACACTATATAAGCAACCTAGCCCATTCTCACATAACTCATAAGCTCTTTACATTGTGTGAAGAAACAGAGATCTTGAGAAAGAAGAAAAATCAATATGGCAACAGAGTCCTCAAACGCATCTTATGATAGGGCAAAGCCATTTTTGGCTGTGATACTTATGCAGTTTGGCTATGCAGGCATGTCCATAGTTTCTAAGCATGCCCTAAATGAAGGGATGAGCCAACATGTATTGGTAGTCTACCGGCATGCGGTTGCCACCCTCGCCATTGCTCCATTTGCCTTTATTTTTGATAGGTATTGGTTTTTATGCGTGCATTCTAGTCTGTTGATTAAAGAAATTTTATAATTAAGAACTAACCATTTATATATTCACTAATATTTTATGACAGGAAAGTAAGGCCAAAGATGACTCTTTCCATCTTCTTTAAGATAATTTTGCTGGGCTTGTTAGAGTGAGTATCTTATTTTAATTACCTTTCACAAGCTTCTTCCAGCAATATTGTTTTCTTGTCATCTTTGCTAAACTGTAATACTATTAATCGTGCAGGCCAACGATCGACCAGAACTTGTACTATACTGGCATGAAATATACCACAGCAACTTTTACTGCTGCTATGTGCAATGTTCTTCCGGCTTTTGCATTTTTGATGGCTTGGGGCTTGAGGTAGTGCATCAGCCACAACTTGCATATTAATTTGTAGCCATAACCCTTGCACAAATTATACATGCACGTTCATATGTGGGCCATATAACCCAACTTTATTATATCTAGTAAATTATTGTGTCATGATTTTGCAGGCTTGAGAAGGTTAACATAAGGAAAATGCATAGCCAGGCAAAGATAATTGGGACCGTAGTCACAGTGGGTGGGGCCATGCTTATGACTCTTGTTAAAGGAACTCGGTTGGATTTGCCGTGGACAAAAGGGTATGATCAACTCGCATCTACAAGTGCATTAACTAATCATCAGGATCCTATTAAAGGTGCTCTTATGATCACCATAGGCTGTGTCTGTTGGGCTTGCTTCATAATTCTCCAGGTAATTTGACCTCTAACATTATATTATAATTACCCAAGGAATCCAACTGATCGTTTAATAAACAATAAAGTTGGATTACGGGGCTCATATCGCCTTTTGGAAATAAAGAGGTTGATTTGATCCAATTTAACGCAAGAGGGTTTGATTAATTTGATCAAAGGTGACAAACGGAGTAAAACAAATTAACACGCATGTGGTTTTAGCAAACTAAGATGGAACAATTTACAGAGTGCGCGAGTGTTGCTAGGTTTATATATATATGTGTGTGTGTGTGTGTTTTTTTCCATTTTCAAATTTATAAAGGGTTCGAGTACAATAAACTCGTTAGATAATTAATTTTCTTGTTTAATAATCACAAAAACCATTAAATGATCACAAAAGTATCGTTAGATAATTAATTTTCTTTTTAAGACTAATTGTAGGTACGTCCATGACGGTCATTTTTGTCTTTTTGCCATTCGAAATTAGTCATTTAATTTGAAATATATATTGTTCACCAAATTATCTCGCTAGCTAGCTAGACAAACTACTTTAATATAGTCTTTCTTTTTTAATTTACGTTACCTAATTTCGTGAGGTCATTTTTTGTCGTTTTCCTTTTTACAGGCAATAACCTTAAAATCATACCCAGTTGAGCTCTCCCTGACAGCTTGGATATGTTTCATGGGAACTATTGAAGGTAGCATTTTAGCAGTCGTAATGGAAAGAGGAAATCTCTCAGCTTGGTCTATAGGCTTGGATAGTAAACTATTAGCCGCTGTTTATAGTGTAAGTAATTTTAAATTCTAACTATATTTTTTTCTTTTTCCTTTTAAGTTTCCAAATTAAAGAGGAAATTAACTGTTTTTAATTTATATATTAACGTGTTCTTATTACAGTTGATCGCATATCGATTTCATTTCCTCAATTTGTTGGCTATTATTTGAATACAGGGCGTAATCTGTTCTGGGCTTGCTTATTATGTACAAGGATTGATTATGAAGCGTAAAGGACCTGTTTTTGTGACTGCCTTCAATCCCTTGAGCATGGTTATCATTGCAATGTTGGGCTCTTTTTTCTTGAAAGAGATATTATACTTAGGAAGGTACGGAAAGTAATGCTAATAGTGGAATATATATATTATAGGCCCCTAAATTGTTTATCCAGTGTTTAACTTATATAAAATACTCAGGAATTTCCACTGATCAGCACCTGATTGTCAAACTTTTTGGGCATATTTGGCTAAATCCTCTTACAAAAAATAGGAACTATTAAAAAATGTTACTACAAGAATTTTTTGGTTATGGACTAATGGAAGAGGTCACTGTTTCTCTGTAGGGTTATTGGAGCAGTTGTCATTGTTAGCGGCCTATATCTAGTGTTGTGGGGGAAAAGCAAGGATGAACCTCTATCCAATTCAAGCAATGATGAGGTAGCAGGAAGTGCTACACAAATTGATACCAAAATGCAAGAGAGGACGGAAAGTTTGAATCAAGAATTTGTTGCTATAGATCTTTCCAGAGTTAGACCTACGGATGAATCAGATTGAAGGAATGCAATTTTGAAAGCATCATACCGTTTAAGGCTCATAATTTGAGCTTTGTTGTATTTATCAACTATGTTCAAATAATGCAATGTGTTGTTTTTGGTTTCTTTAAGATCGTCAGATCGATATCAATCAGAAACAAAGAATTTTAGCCAAAGTGATGTTTCGGCTAAGAATTAAAGGTTGTTTTCTTTCATGCAGAGATGTCTATATCTAAAAACCCCAAATTCTACCATGTTAAAAAGATCAGTTAATTAATATTTTTTTCCTCTTCTGGTAAGAATTAAGATTCTGTAAATTATGTATCATTTGTCCTTTTCGCCACCATTCAGTACGTGCACACTTAAGTGGGAAGGTAATTGCCCATTGCTCCACCTCCTCCTCATTATGAGTAGGTTTGCTGCTGCATTAAGCGATTTAATGGAATGAAACTATTAGATAATCAAACTTCTTATGTGCTTCAGAACTAATTCGAGGTTGACAGATTGAGATTTGTATTATTAACTTGGTTATCTTATTCGATCTTGTGTTTTAAACAATTATTATCATGCTTTAGATTTGACCATTATCTTTAACCTAAAAAAAAAAACTCCTTTTGAAAATTTTAACTTTTAATATTTTGAGTTGAAGTTTTTCATAGATGATAAGGAATATTCAATTCATTTTTACAAATAATTTGAATTTTTTTCTCAAGTTAGAGATTATTGTTTTTATTTTCTAAATAATAAAAATTCAATAAATTATGAAAAATAAGTTAGAATTATTTTAATTTTGTTGAAAAGATTATATGAATTTACATATGTATAATTTTAGTGTGGTTTCTAAAATTAATATATTTTAAATTTTGATTAGATGTTACGCATTCAATCGTGTAAATATTTTGAAAATCATACTACCACTAAGGAGAGAAATGTATATAATTTTTTTAGGGCCTCTAAAAATGTTGGAATAATTCCAAATTATTTTCTATTTTTTTACAATTTTGTATATATTAAATGTTTAATAAAAAAATCTTAAAAAAAATTGAAATTATTTTTTAAAATAGATTGAATTATTATTATTATTATTATTATTATTATTATTATATGTGAAAAAATTTAATTCAAAACACCAAAATTGAATATTTTTTAAAAAGAGTTTTTGGTCAATCAAATCAAATCAAATAATAATATTTGTCCAAACTATGATAATTTAATGATAAAATTGGTCAAAAACTAATAACACATGTCTCAATGTGTCACAACTACAATAATTTAAGAATAAAAAATATCATTAAATCGTATATAAATGCGAAGTTATTAAAAAAGGTCTTTCTAACGTAATATAATTAGATAAATTTTGGTTAGAGTCTAATTTCGTACAATTAATTAAACGCAAATTAATTTAGAATTAAAATAAAATTGTATCTTGAAATCATTATTCAAAAAAAAAAAAATTCTTGTTAATGATTAGTTTGGTTAAAGTGGATTTACTCTCGGTCCAAAAATATTTCAATCATTGAATACAAAAAAATTTGCACCCCACAGTGGTAACATTCCGAAAGCAGAATATTCTTCTTGTTTTTGTGCTGGGAAAGGTTCAAGACCCCACTAATACTGGAGTGCCCACTAAGAATGTACTTGAACAGCCCAGTCAAAATCGAGTGATAGGGGTACTTGCTGGCCAGGAATGGAATTAAAAAAATCAACCAGCAATTTGGTATCCATTTCGAGCAATAACTCTTAACTATTTTTTTTATGTTGCATTTGGAGACTTCAATTGTTCGATCGTCAACGGTGACAGTCAAACCATTTCTCCCTCCCTTGAATCTTGATTTCTTTAATTAAACCTATATACCTATAGGCCTACAGCACACACATGCTCTTAGGTAATCTCCATGGATCCGACTCTTTATTTAGAAGCCCATAGCTATTATCAATGAAAAAATAGGTTTTCTTTTGTAAAAAAAATTATCATTAGTATTAGAGTAAATTTCAGTTTGTCTTCTTCAAATTTATATGTGGTTTTAATTTATTCTAAAACCTTTGATTTTTTTTACAATTAAACCTCGTATCGTATATTTTTATCTAGTTAATCCCTAAATTTTTCACTCTTGTTCCAATTTTTTTCTCCAATCAATTTTCGTCAAGTGTGTAAATTTTGATTTCATCCCTAAAGTGTTTGAAATATCGCAAAATCATCTAAACAATAAAGAGAAAAAACGAATAAAAATTAATAAAAATAAGAATAGAAAATATATGAGTTTTTCCCATACATAGTTTTTATACTTTTCGAATTATTTTGATTAAGATCTTGTACTCTTCTTTATATGAATCGAGTCTCTTCACTCTTTATTTTATTTTGTTTTTGTCTCTCCATTATAATGTTGTTAGTTAGTGAGTTGACATAGCATATTCATTCTTGAATGGATAATACATGTCATACGTGAGATTTCAATAAAGAGACTTAAGAAAAAGAAAAAAAAATGATCAATTCAAAAGAGTTGGTAAATAATCATGGAGAAATGAGAGGACTTCCATAAGCAATCAAGGCATTAGTAGATGGCTTAATACACACACGTGTATAGAAAGAAATATGAGGTTTTTAAGTTTTATTGACTTTTAATTATTTTTTCTTTTCTTAAATGTATAAGAGATTAAGGAATTTTTATTTTTTATTCTCCTTTTTTTTTTCGTCCACTCGTTAACAGCAATAAGGTTTGAGGGTTCTAGTTCTATACAAATGTATAATAAAAAATCTCGTTAATAAAGTTAATAGTATAGTAAAAGAACCATTTCAACCTAAAAGGTTAAGCGAGTTAGGCAAAATCTCGGGATATGATCTATATTAATCTCTAAAATTTAGCCATATTTCTAGATAAATTTGCTCTAAAATTTTTAATACATGCCTTTTATTTTATGCCTAGTTTAGATTTAATATTTTGAATTTTGAGTCTCTTATATTTATCTATTTATTTAATCAATGTTTAGTTTTTAGGTTTTATTTTAAAAATTAGATTAGATAATTAATATGTGGATAAATCATCAAGTTTTTTAATTTTTAGGGACTAATGGCAACTCCCCACCAACAAAAAAATAAAGAGAAAATATTAGATGAAAAAAATGATAAAAAAAAAGAAGAGAAAATGATAAAAAAAAAGAGACATAAAAAGAAAAAAGAAAAGAAAATGCTAGGTGAAAAAAATGATGAAAAAAGAAAGAAAAAAAGAAAAAGAAAATGCTAGGTGAAAATTAACAAAATTTCATATCTAATAGGGACCGATGTTAACTCAAATCAATCATTTTTTAGTAAGTAGGTTATTCTTCGCCATACTCGGTTATGTCAAGACTTAAACTGGATTCGTTGTTGAATTGACAAGACTCTCAATGATGGTTCCGGCAATCGATTCAATATGATGCCATAAACCAAAAAAAAAAAAAAATGGCTTAGGAAATAAAACTTGGAATTGTGATTTAGGATTAATTTTTGCAAAAATAAAAATTTTAGAAATTATGCTTTTGAGTGATTGGTATCTTTTCAAAGACAAAACTAACTTTTTACCTTAGAATCTATTAACCATTGTCCATTTTAGGTTCTTAGTTACTTTTAATATTAGGTGACGACTCTAAAATTAATAATAACTCATATCTTCAAATAAATAAAATTTTTAATCAAACCCTAAAATTTTTAGGAGTCCCACAAATATCGGGTAGTGACAATGATGAGAATATTAAGATATGAAATCTAAACACAAATGGTGGTTGTGTCAAAAGAGCGTTAAATGCATGATCTCAATGAGTACTTTGGGATATCTCATGACTCGATCTAAATGGTAATTCACAAAATTGAGAACACTTAGGGACAAGACTAATGACCTAACAACTCTAATAAAGTTCAACAATTGGACAAACAATGGCATCATTATGCCAACTAAAGTAACAAAGGCCTTAACGAGTAAACTTTTAAGTATTTATCAAAATAGCCAAAACCATCAAGTTAGAGGGCAAATATGAGTCTTGAGAGAGGATAATGACTTAACAAAAATTTCACAAGCAATCAAAGTAGTTAGAAACGGTCTCATAGGGGTAAATTTTAACAAGTGGGTGGTTATTAACTTCAAAAGTTCATAAAAGTCCAATCTGCCTTAGTTTATTTGTAAAAAGATGAAAAACAAGTTTATAATTAACGAGTGATCAAGGCCCAAGGGTAAGAAAATTTCAATAGTACATAAGTCCGGATCACCAAAAATGAAACACAAAAAGGGAGTTAAGGCCGATAAGATAGGACAATTTATATTTCTAACAAGTAAGAAACTAATCATTGCAATCATCTTTATTGATATATTTTAGGAATGTCATTTCAAATGAAAGGACGGAACCATCATTCAAGTGTAAAATTCAAAAGTCACAAGATCATAACATTCCTAAAATCATTAGTTATATAGAGGTCGGGTAACAATCATCTCTCTTGTCTAAGTGGGGTCACTAATTTAATTCATTGATTTAGGTAGGGTTGCTTAGTGATCATTCTCGTATTCGGATGTGGTTGCCTAACTTAGTTTGTCACTTCAAGCAGGATTGCCTAGTGATCATTTTCATATTCAAAAGAAGTCGTTTAACTTAGTTCATTATTTAGGTAAGGTTATCTAGCGATCATTTTCGTATTTAGTGCGTACGCCTAACTTAGTTCGTCATTTTAGGTAGGTTGCCTAGCTTTCATTTTTCATTTTTAGACAAGGTTGTCAAATATATCTCATCATTTTAGGAGGATTGCCTAACAATCATCTCTCATTCAAGTTAGGGTTGTTTAATTTAGTTCATCCTTTTGGCAAGATTGTCTAGCGATCATCTTTCATTTCAAGTAGGGTTGCCTAATTTAATTCATCGTTTAGATAGAGTTGCCTAATGATCATCTCATTTCTAAGCGGGGTGGGTTGCTAAACTATCATCTCATTTTTAGGTAGGATTGCTTGATTTAGTTCATCACTTAAGGCATGGTTGTCTAGCAATCATTATTCATTTTCG